AAGGTAAATACCATGTCACTTGCTGTAAGGTGCACTGTTCATGAGCTTTGACAGCAGTGTAAGGCTTACCCAGAAACCTGTTCTATTACTTTATAACAGTATCTGTACATCTCTGTTTCTTCTCCCTTTCTTCTCTCCTTTCCTACTAGAATTGGCCTTCCCATCCACTGCATTTCATTAGCCTATGTCACTCTAAGCAAAGATCAGCATACCCCAGTTTAGGATAAATATTCCTAAGAAGCATGTGAAGTATCTCTGAAGCAGAAGTGGTGTGGCAAGAGAAAGGAGTTGGAGGGGAATTTATAAAGTAGTTGGCCAGCTTTGCTTAGGACAGTCCTCATGAGTGGGACACAGGTTAACAGAGAGATTACTGTTGAATTAGAGTTATCGTCATCACATCTACCTTTGTTTCCAAGGTAAAACGTCCTCTCATCGAGGGGAGTCATGAGCCGCTTCTTGAATGTGTTACGAAGCTGGCTGGTTATGGTGTCCATCATAGCCATGGGGAACACGCTACAGAGCTTCCGGGATCATACTTTCCTCTATGAAAAACTCTACACCGGCAAGCCAAACCTAGGTAAGACAGCCAAGAACTGGCTGGCATGGTGGTGCATGCCTGTAATCCAACACTCAGGAGGTTAAATATTGAGAGTTCCAAGCCAGCCTGGGCAATAAGATCCTGTGTTGGAAAAAAAAAACAAAACAAAACTGAAAGATGGCACTAGAGAAATTGCTCAGAAGTTAAAAGCACTTGCTGGTCTTGCAGAGGACTTGGGTTCAGTTCCCAGTACTCACATGGTGGCTTACAACCAGCTGTACCTCCAGTTCTAGGCAATCCAACACCCTCTTCTGGCCTCCTTGGACACTGCACACACATGGTACAGATACAGGCAGCACACACATAAAATAAACAAATAAATCTTTTCAAAAAAAGTAAATAAGAAAAAGAAAATAATTTAAGGAAGCATATTCTGTATAACAGTGACATACTGTTGGTTCCCAAGCCAGACTGCATCAGAATGACCCAGGCTACTTAAAGTCAATCAAGGGGACTGGAGAGATGCTCAGCAGTTAAGAGTACTTCCTGCTCTTCCAGGAAGACCTAGTTTGGTTACCAGCACCCACAAAACAGCTGATAAGTGTCTGTAACTTTTGTTCCAGGGAATCCAGTGTGTTGTTCTGGCCTCCATGGGCACTGCATGCACATGGTATACTTACATAACATGTGGACAAAACACTCATACAGATAAAATAAATGAATCTTTTAAAAAAATTTCAAGTCTGTGGCTGGAGAGATGGCTCAGTGGTTACGAGCACTGGCTGCTCTTGGAGAAGACCTGGATTCAAATCCCAGTACCCACATGGTGGCTAACAACCAGCTGTAACTCCATTTCCAGGAGATCCAGTGCCCTCTTCTGTCCTCTGCAGTAATTGCACACATGGGTGCACTTATAAACATGCAGGCAAAACACTCATACACACACACACACACACACACACACACACACACACAAATTAATTCCAGGGAGCTGGAGAGATGGCTCAGCAGTTAAGAGCACTAGCTACTCTTCCAGAGGACCTGGGCTCAATTCCCAGACCCCCATGGTGGCTAACAACAGTCTTTAACTCCAGTTCCAGGGAATCTGATGCCTTCTTCTGACCTCCATGGGAGTTACATGGCATGGGTGTACCTACACATATGTAGGCATGACACTCATATACATAAAATAAAATAATCAAAACTTTTAATTTCAATGACATTCTATATAGAAATAAAGAATCCTAAGATTCATATGAAAGTACAGAAGACCCCA